CCCTTTGAAGTACCCATAGCATTCGAAAGGCCTTAGCTGCGGCTCCATTACAATTTGCCATTGTTTTTAAGTCATGGCTTACAATAATTCCCAAGAACTTTTGTCCCTTAATATATGGCAGTTCAGTGTGTCCTTGGGAGTGCGACGTGTAAGACTTCTGACCTAGGTGCATTACCGTGTTGTTCTTGGAATTAACTTCCAGACTCCAGAGGTTAGCCCATTCAGCTAATTTATCTAGATCGTTTTGTAGTACCAACCTATCATCGTTGCTGTTTACGGTTTTCCAAAACCTTATATCATCCTCAAATGATAAGGAAGATGAGGTAAGAATTCTCGGCACTTCATTTTGCGTATAATAGGAATAGCAGGAGGCCAAGCAGAGTTCCCTGAGGTACTCCACTGAGTACTACTTTCCAACCTGACAGTACACCATTAACCTTTACCTTCTACCTTCTATCCATCAGGTAATCGCTAAACAACTCACATAAGTGTTGGTCAAATCCAAAACGTTTGAGTTTACTAAGAAGACCTACATGGGATACCTCATCGAATGCTTTACTAAGATCGATAAAGACAACGTCCAGTAGATGGTTCTTATCCCTGGCCTCGGCCCAATCTTCCCTAGCTAACAGTAAGTTTGTTAGGTAGGATCGTCCTGGTCGGAATCCATGCTGTTCCACTGCCAGTAAGCCATGTTTCTCCATATTAGCTAAGAGCTGATCCCTTATGAGTGCTTCCAATACCTTTGCTATAATGCAGGTCAGACTTATAGGCCGGTAGTGAGATATTAACTGTCTGTTTCCAACTTTGAAGATGGGGCTGATAAAAGCATCTTTCCAGTCCCTGGGCAGCCTAACCTGAGTCAGAAACATTTGAAAAATAACCGTAGATGGAATGTGTGTTATATCCGCCAAGGCAGTGTTAAGATGAACTTCAGATGTTTCCGAGACTTTAAAGTACTTTTCACTACAATGAGACCAGCCTAATTATCTAAATGGTGGAAGGAAATGCCTTTCTAGGGTTTAAATATTAGCTTCTAAGAAAGCCTGGTTAGCACTCTGGCTTTACATTATACTGTTGAATATAAGAAATGAGGAACTGAAACTCAGGAGGTTCAGGTAAAAGATTCAGGCAAACTATCGAATTGAGAAGTTCAGTACTGTTCAAAAACATGAAGGTTACCAGACATATAATTATCTTATTCAGATGCGTATACAAATGATTAAAAACAGAATGCTAACTAACTTTAATGATCATTGAATCTCGGTGTAGAAAGGAAAGGCCAACCACTAAAACCAGTGCACTAACAGATTACCTCTTGTGTAAAGTGCAGCCGTTAAAACACTTGGTAAAGCTGGTGTCAATTAACTCAGGCAGTATGGTAATCTAGAAGAGAAAACAGGAAAAATACGCAGAACGACAAACCATCAGGCATAAGAACATACTACTATTATACACATACACTTAATTTTGTAACCTAATGTGAAAATTTGAGAGAAATGCATTGAAATGCCTCCAGGGTCCCTTAAGACACAAAAGTATTCCGGGAGGTTTTCATGGCGTTCTCGGCAAAGTTAGACTATCATAGCCAAAACCACAGTGACCCTGAACAACCAATCAAAATTCAGATGCAGAATTGTCGCATAATCGTTGAAAAATACACTAAAAAATATTGCAAATATGAGAATACTCTGTACGGATGTGGCTTATGTATTGTAAGAATGTCTCCCACTCACCACACAGGTGGTCTATAAAGAGATCATACCATGAGCGACATATCCATTCATAAAGGTGACTGTAGCATGACTTATGGGTTGTGGTAATTTGAGATCCATTGATATTTCTGACACTATTCTGTAACCTACTCCTAAATCCAACCATAATCATAAATCTTGACTTTAAATTTAACCCTAATCCTGACCTCAATCCTAGATCCTAAACCTAAATATTAAAAGTCATAACCCTATCTAACAGTATAAATTTGAAGAAAAATGTATCTAGTAAATGAGTAGAATACTGTATCTTCCCTCTCCAAGTGCATAGAGCGAGGCATGAATTGATTTGTAATGACATTGCATTGCGTCCCCTGTGTCTGATCCGTTCTTGAAGGTCAACTTCGAAAAACCTTGACTTTGGCTTTGATACTTTAACGTCGCCGAATATTCTCAGTCCCAAAAAATTTCTAATAGGCTTGAAGACCATCCATTTAACATTTTATTGAAAAAGTTAGACCGAATAATCTATCCCATCTTTAAAAAGTAACAGTAACTAATAAAGGGTATCCCGATTAATCAGATCAACTACTTGTAAGATCCTTGCTGAGCCCTCTCGCTTTGGTCGCTATAATTAAACTTGGCCAATAAGGGCGCTCAATGTACATAGCAATAAAAAAATGATAAAAAGATGCGAAAAGGACGAGTACGACTTCAGTCCGTCTCATACACAGTGTAATAGAACACAAACAATTACACAGGTCAAGCACGCAGAGTAGAGCGGAGAAGCAGAACACGACTTGAGAAAAAGCACTTTTAGGTGACACTGAATTACACCAACAGAAGTCCAAAAATTATATACATGTAGGTACAAAGAGCTAGGCTATTACAGTTCAGCGTCCACCGGTTTCTGAACTGACGCTTTCTCTCAAATTTGAACCACTACACGCAGTATTAGCGACATTTTCGTAAAACGCGGTAATCACTCATCCGATATCCAATGTTATTTTGGCGAGCTTGCATAAACCATGTGATTATTTGAGAACCGCTTCTTGTCACTTTGGAATAGAATGTAGAATCCAGTATGACTTATTCCCTTCATTGCTGTAGCTGTGTTGAATGTTGTGAGGATGTGCTGTTTGTTGATGGGTATATAAGCTGCATTTACTTGTCAGTCTCTCAACATTTGTAATGAATCAGGCTGAGTTACCTTATTTCCCTCCCGTTTACAGTCGACATTGGGAACACAATTTACTGTCTCTGAAAAACCCTAAATATTTACCATGCTACCTGATATTCCAAACAGGTGTATAGTTCCTGCTGAGTATTTGATTTTGTGTGTTCGTCATGAGCTGCTGCACCATTACGCCCTTCAGTCAGACTCACACCTTACTATTTCCGATCAGAAAAATGGAATGAAAGAAAAACATGGATCTTGCGTAGAATTCATAATTGGATTGGAATCAGGGTGGTATCTGAACCTTGTCGGCTTAAGGACTCCATGAACTTACTGAAGAAAAATGATATATTTCACCTAATGCTGTGTATGCTGACTCATTGACATGAATAGTTGGACACCACTCAGATCAACTTGTAGTGTTCGCTGACCAAATTATCCAAACTACCCAAACAATGGACAGCCCTTTATCTCTTTTGGGCCTGAACCCATCAGCAGCATGTCCAGTCCTATTTGGATCACAGAGCCGAACTACCGCGATCCCAGCCAGCCACTGATAAGCAGCTCGACTCCAATGGAATTAAGTGACTGTCTGGTGTTTTAATCAGAATGATCATTTGATCAAGAAGCACTGCTAGTTGATGTGAGTCGTTTGCAAGTGCTCAGAGAAGTGTCTTGTTGAAGTCTTGCATTCAGTGTATTCACATCGAAGTATTCGCTGAAGATGTTGCTCATCAGAGCAATGAAAGCTTCGCAACCAAACCATCCAGCTCAGAGAACACAACCACACCAAAATGTCATCAGTGGGTTAGACGCTGCTCAAACTACTGGGCTACGAGTGTTTCCACCCACCCGAATACCTAAGACCTTCTATAATTCTTATGGTTTTAATCGTGCAATTATATAGAGTGATCACTACATGTACCCGCGCACCTAATTAATTGGCTTTCGACGCAACAGTACAATTCTTGAAGGAAAGGAAGTAATAGTTCACTGATTTGTTTCTTTCTTCATATGGAACAACACTGTGTCCTATGATATACTTCAGGTTATTACTTTACATGTAAATCCGGTTTAAAGCAGAAATATTTTGGAATTATTATTGTTTCCTTTAATTCCTAGAGGAACATAGGGCTTCAGCCGTGCGTCTCCATTGCGTTCGGTTCTCTGCTAGAGTCTACACCTGGCTCCAAGTATGCCCACACGTTTTCATCTCCTCTTCAGATCACCTCCTCCAAGTCACCTTGCACCGACGACCAACTCGCCGCTTCCCTTTCGGGTTCCACTCGAGCGTTGGCTTGTCTAGTGATGTCACTTGATGGTTTGCCTTCTCAGAGTATGGCCAATCCATCTCCATTTCTTCCTGCCTATCTGGTGCACAATCGGTTCCTGGTTGGTTCGCTCCCAGAGATCCCTCACTATTGCTGATCTTTTCTGGCCGGCCATCGGATCTTGAGTGAAGTATTGAGCGAAAACAGCTGTTGATGAAGGTCTGTAGTTTGTTTGAGATGCTCTTTATGACGCGCCAAGTCTCTTATCCGTATAGTAGCACTGACTTCACATTGGAGTTGAAAATCTGGATCTTGTTTTTCATGCTGAGTGCTGTTGACCTCCACACAAACTTGAGAGTAGTGAAAGCTTGTCTTGCTCTTCCGATTCTTGCTTTGATATCCTCGTCAGCTCCGTCCGCCTGTAGTTGAAACGGTGCTTCCCAGGTCGGTAGGTAAAAGAGGTTGTTTCTTTCAGGTTCCTCCCATTTATGCTGATCGTTGTCTGTTGTTGTTGTTGCTGTTGGTGGTGTTGCCCAGGAATCTTCATCACCTCTGTTTTCTCTATGTTCACCTGAAGTCCCTCTTATCTTTGATGCTTGTTCTGCCAACTTGTTGCTTTTCACTTGCATATCTTCCAGTTTGTGGGAAATCAGACATATATCATCGGCGAAGTCCAGGTCCTCCAAGTTTTCTGTGTGAGTCCATTTTATGCCTGTTTCCTCATTGCCCGCTGTTTGTCGCATTTTGGAATTAAATAAGCTAGAAATCTCTGTGTTTTGAGATCGCACATCTCAAATGAAGCTTTATTATTATAGCTATGTTTGTTTCCACCCGTGAAAAATGTCGCTAAGTGTTAAGCCTAAGTAAGCTCTTTGGACAGAAACCTTTTAGTAACCTTCAAATCCATATCTTAAACACCCGCCAAACAAGTCCTTCCTATAAGAATATTCCATTTTCTCTATGTACGTTGGTGTGCAGTGAATCAAGTGTTACGTCCATTAGGTTGTGCTATGCTTTATTAATGGCACCGCGTAATATGGAGGACATCAGTATGCATTATGACGACTCGAAGTTTAAAAGTCAGCTCAAATCCTTTTCTACAGGACCTGAGAAACACTTTACAAGTCGGCATGTTCTTCTTCGCCGGATCTTTGAATGTCACTTATAATGAAACCATGATGATTTAACTTGGGTGCCGATGTATACTACAATGGATCTCATCTATCCAACCACATCCTGAAGTTGACTCTCTTTTTCACTTGCATTCTCTGCCCCTTTAATGTCCAGTTTTGCAGAAATAAAAGCAGCCTGCTCGTATTACATTACACTTTCATAACAAATAGCATAGTTTTGATAGTGATAACAGCGTGCTTAAGATTACATATTGCAAATGTTAATTATCATTCTGGTGATCGTATGGCCGAATTCATTTTTAGTGACACATTAGACTTATTTCTGTTTTTACTGAACTTTGTTTTTGTTAGAATACTGACTTCTACAAAACAGCTTGCAGCCATGCTCGGATATGGTACATATCTGATTAGTGCCTGAGGATATGGTTGATTATCGATAGAGTACAGTAACCAGCAGAAACCTAGGTGAAAATTGAGATCAGCACCCAGCTCTGATGATGGCTCCGTTATGCAACAATAAATTGACACTGCTCTGTTAGTCTGTGCTAAGAAACCAACCGTCTGAACCTTTGAAACAATGAAAAAAGTCTTCACACGAGACAGACACCATAGTTTGGTTGACAGGTTCAATGATTTGCACTATTTTTTGAATGATATGTATTGTTCTAGTAAGAGGACACATGAATGTTAGTTCCTATAACTAATAAAATGGCTTCAAACATCCTGTCTGTTTCACTGCGGCCTATTCATGCACACTGACGCCATAGTAAGAGCACTGAGATTCTGCATTCTCTTGCGAAGATGGAGGAAAAGATGATCTCAAGTCACTTTTATTCATTGGTCAGTCCTTTCTGCTCGTAGATTGTCCATATAACGCCACCGGGATATCACGTTAGGATTGGCCACCACTATGAGGTTCCCCATTTTAACGTCAATAGCGAATGAGCTCATTTTAGGTGCTATTAGCTATAAATTATTTGTTGCACACTTGAAACTATAAAACTCGGTGGTATTGCGTTGGTTCACAGGAGGCAGCAGATGACTGATCCTCAAGGTTGGAATAGTGTGTGTTCTAAAGCCACAACTGTAGCAACAGAAGGCAAGACACGGAAGCAAAGGTATATTTTCAAGTGATCGACCAGCTGTTTGTTTCTATACGGTTTATATTCCCTAACCAGCCACTGAGCGTGTGATTTTGGTTTACATCAAACGACAAGAAATGGAATGTTCAAATATATACGTGTTCTGTTGCTTAGGCACTATTGAACTGTTGGAATACTATTCCGACTTTGACACCAACAAATACAGTGATTCTTACTGTGGGAATAATATTCCGTTGGAACGCATTGTCTGTTTCGCACAAACACACCATGTCTGGATGTCTAACACTATGGTTATTATATCCATTGGTGCATTGTTCATGCGAACGATACTTGTTCACAGTGGTTGAGATGTGACTAGACGCTTTGGCTGTATCTTGTCCTTACCGTGGCACCAGTACTGTATAAACCCGTGAACGTCGTCTCTTGGTATCAATAAACAGCTTTTGATCTTTGTTACAGAAGGTTCACCGCTAGGCTGCTGTAGCTCTGTTGAGTTCAGTTAGCGGGGGCACACTTTTACTAATAGGAAACCTTAGTTTACCTCAGAATGGTGTCACTTCTGGATGTTTCAGCTGCAGCCTTTCGAACCGATCAAAGCATTGGAAAGCGAGATATTAAGAGCACACAGACTAAACCGGGAAAATGAGTGGACAGAACGAATCTAATGAAAGAAGCATATGAAGGAAATAGGAGACAATCGGAAAAACCAAAAAATTACACAAATTAAGGCAAGGCAAACTGACTGAAACTGATGATGTGTCCCCATGTTTCATAGAAACCTGAAATATACGTGAATGAGCCATTCAAGCCCTCGATGCTGTCCGTAGTTCTTTTGGAGCCATCAAGTGGCCAAGTATTGGCTGCGTCAGCTAAAATGGATTTACATAGGCGACAAACTCTCGGATAAAAATGGAACCACCAGTGGTTATCAGTGCTTCATGGGTTTCATATGAGGAAGCACCGTAGTGCCTGTCCAGAACTGTCTATAATAATAATTCATATTTCGTATAAACGGGGAAGTTTACATTAATAGGATGCCATTTTTACAGGCACGATCAGTTACTTCATAAATTACAATCCTGAAGTATCGTAAATTACTACTTTTGATCA